GAAATATCAGCATACTCCTCGTTGTGCAAATTAGTCTAAAGGAGCATATGTAAAGTCTTCAGTGTACATGCAGTAAAATCCCCTATGACGGAGCACTCCTGGGTTAAACGCATGTCATTTTCACTATTTTTGTGAAAAGCAGAATGCAACTTTGCAAAAGTATTTTATACTTTGCGTGAAACTGCAGTAATATGCAGATACTGTAGGCTGTTGCCTACTTAAAACTGAGTAGAATATTTACAATGACTTTAACAGTTAGACTTACTGTATACGTGTTGGTTTACTGTTACTGTTGACCAATCATTGACCATTTAAGCACAAAAACCCAAAGGCTTTCAGCCCATGCTTGTCAAATACGTTTGAATTCAGAATTACGTAGCAAATGGAAGGAAACTGTCATTAGAAGAGAGAAGAAACACTATGTGTGTGTCGGTTTGTACAGACATACAGGAATGCAAAACAAGAACAATTCCAGGACAGCACGCAAATTGCTGCCATAGCCTACAGAAATATACATTTATGAAGAGAGTCCTGTTGCTGGTGTTGTGCTAGCAGTATCTCATCATAACACAGCGTTATCTCGTTTAAACATGAAAACACTTTTCCTCCGTGGCGCTAACAGGCTTCTATAATACTGACTCGCTATACAGATACTAAAATACATTCCTGGTCTTATCAACAGTTCTTAGTGTCTTACTGCCTTCATTTGGCATTCATTAAGATTCTAATGAAACACATGTACAAAATAAAGTTTTTAAGTTTCAATTTACGTAGAACTACAGACCAAGATCACTGAAATCTTTCCATTTTCATCATGCTAAATTAAAAACAAAACATGCTTAGCTTCTAGAGAACAACAAATCAGAATTGGTGAGATCAGCTCATCTTCCAAACCTAGAAGTAGGTAAAAGTTTCCCAGATGTTTCATTTACTACCTAGACTGCAGTGTCTTTTTCCTCATGTGACTGGATGCGTTCATTGGTGCAGGCATATATTCAATAACCAGGAGGTCTTTTAACCAAAGAGATCAAGGCTGACATGGGCGAGGGGAGACTGCAACTTTTTAAATGGAAATGGAAGGTAAATGGAAGTACTTTGTAATTCTTTGAAATCATTTCTTTAAAAAAAAAAACAAGTTGGGATTATTTTTAATGTGCAAACAACTTGAACCATTATAATTTCCATGACAGTAATACTTTCTACTTTAGCATGGCTACATTTTCTTATTCAGCATTGCTGTCTTAATGCAAGAACTAATATTTCTGCAGCTGAGACCTCAGCACAACCTTAGCTAATACTATTTCTAGGTGAACTATGTGTGGCTCAAAACAGGAAATAGAAGACAGTGCTGCACTATCCAGGTTCTCTGCAGTTAAAGGAAGTTAGATTGCTTTCTTTTTAGTGCACCTTTTCGGAATATTCTGCTTTCTACCGGAGTAACTTTTCATTCTCAGTATATCCTTGCAGTTTGCTTGCTGGGAACACTTCCCTGGACGCATCCAATATTCCCGAGCATCTACGCAACCTGCACGCATGAGAAGAAGCAGTGCTGAAGCTGGAGGACTGAAGCTGGCCAGCTCAAGTCTGCTCATCCCATTCCTCTTAAGACCACCATGGTATTAATGCATGATGGGAAGAAGATCAACTGCTCCTACAATTCTGAAATAAGCTGCTACAAGGGATCCATCGCTGAAGGCAACTGGATCCGCCACCTTAAAGTTTTAAAGGGAAATGTAGAAGTTATCGTATAACCCCACAACAGATATCCTAGACATTTTCAGCATTAAGCACCTTCACCAAAACAACTGACACCAAAAGAAAAAATCGGTAGAAAACCTTCACATGCTTTTCTTGCCTGAAACCTTAGTCGGCATGGTATTAAACTCGACTTGCTCTTTTGTAACTTGCATGCCGACAGCTCTCCCCTCGAATATTTTATATTCACGTGTTAGCGGAAGGCCTTTCACAGAGGGGTGAGAACCCTATTGCAGTGTCTCCATTCTCAAGCAAATACATGAAACTAGACTCTGTGCTTGACCTTCCTTCTCCTTGTGGAGGTACGGAGGTTGTAGTTGTCAGCTAAGTCATAGAGACAACTAGCTATTCACAACTGGAAATCCTATGTGTTGGAAAAAAGCGTACATGTTACATTTATTTTTTAGTCCTCCTGCTGCTTTTTCAAACAGGTCACTATAGACAAATGCCACTTAACGTTGCATCGCTGGCCAGGTCAGGAAATCAAAATGCTAACCACACACTGCAGGTTTTGAATGTGCTTGTTAATGAACAAAATACTTCTAAACCAAGCCAGGTATGTCCGAATTTTATTCAGCTTTAAGGTCCCCTGCTTTTTTGAGAAGTAACAGGTAGTGCACCGAGAGAAAACGTGTTACACCTCAATCTGATATAATTTCACTCTTGCATTTTGTTTAGCAAAGGAGAATCGATGACTTTATCATTTGCATTTTCACCTTAAAAGGTATTCGGGTATGACAACATGAATGTAATGTGCTGAAAAGAAGAACAGAATCCAATGCTTTAACAACAAGGAAAAAAAAAAAAGATACCACCACTTACTTTCTTCATCTGAATCAAAGCCAAAGAAAGCCTGACACTTCTTCTGGGCGAGATGGCTCTGCAGTTCTTCTGCTTTGTCAAAGAGTGCAAAACACTTAGTGCACCTGTGTCTCTGAACACCGCCAGCCTGCTCCGACTGCGGCGCGGAGCTGGGAGACTCTGCCTTGGTGGGCGATTTCCTGCGCTTGGGCATGCTGATGTACTGCTCAGCGAGGTACGCCGAAGGGGGAGGCCGGATGAACGGCTTTTTGGAAGTGCCCCCGTAGGAGTAAACTTCATCGTCGTACCGTCGGGGCTTTTTAAGGGCTGCCGTGGAAACGTCCTGGGGCGGGGGGGCCTTTTCCGGATCCTTTCCGGCAACCCCCTCCGATTTAATTTCCGTTGGACCGGTGTCTTTCTTCCCCGCCTCCGGCGCGTGGTCCTGCAGATCCAGTGCCTGAGCTGCTCCTTCCGGCAGCTGAGCAGAAGCCGGTTTATCTCCGTCGGCATGCCCATTTAACAGCTGTCCATCGGAAACCCTGCCGCCCGCGGAATCCTCCCTCGCACCATCTTCTGGCTGCTCCAAGGATTTGGCCTCTGGTGTGGCAACCTTGACTTCCACTGAATTTAAGATGGATTTGCCTCCTCCACTAGGTATGTAGGTCTTTGGCTGTGCGGATTCTTTTCGGACTTTCAGATCTTGGATGGGAGCCTCTTGTGCGTCTTTTTTTCTTTTTCTTTTTACCAGGATGCCACTGGCCTCCGTGGAGTTGTGCCCGGAAGCTGCTGCTGAAGGAGTACCGTCTAGGTTTGTCATTAGGGAGTAATGCCAACATTCATGCTCATGCAGCAGGGAGAGATCAGAAAAAAGTTCAAAGCATTCTGGAAAACTACACTGTGCCTGAAACTGCGAGTGGGTTTTTAGGTGCTGCCCAAGTTCTGCTTGCGTTTTGAATCTTTCGTTGCAGCTGTAGTGCTGACAAAAATACCTGTGAGCACCGTCATGCCTCTTGAGGTGGTCCGAGTAATGCTGCAGACACAGAAATTTTCTTTGGCAATACTGGCACTTTCCCTTTGTCCAGAGAAATGTACACTCCTGGACTTTCATATCATTCGGGTGAGCTTTCTTTACATGCTTAACGAGAACCCACTGTCTAACAAAAGACCTCGCACACCCCTCTGCAGGGCATCTGAATTGTTCTTTCTGGCACTCTGACTTTTGCTTTGAAATAGATCCGTTAGCTCTCTGCACCATTGACTGATCTTTTGCAGCACATGCAATTTCATTTTTGTCACTCTTCAGCAAACCTTGTGACTCACTACTTACATGTTCTAGATTTACATTAATTCTGTTATGGTTTTCTACATGATTTTCTACTTCCGCTGCTGAATGTTTAAGATCTGGGGGTAAAGATATGACGTCACGCTCGCAAGTTTCAGAAGTTCCATTTTCAACTGGAGTGCAATTTTCATTGCTTTGGGTATCTGGCAGACGCTTTTTGCTTTTCATTTTCTGAAGGTGTTCCTTCAGGTGATTAAGCATGAAATTCCTTTGCTTGTATGTTTTACCACACAACACACAACGCAGGTTTCCTTTTTGTAGATGAACCAATGCATGGCGTTTTATGTGTCCACCCATGAAGTCTTTGTTGCACAACATACAACGATGCCTGGGCACACAGTTTTCATTTCTGCTCAAAGTATTACCCAAAACTGTTTTTGGAGAGTTTTTGAAATCAGGATCATTTCCTGGTGGTGACACAGTATGCTGCTCTTGCTCAAGTTTTGGAGGGGAAGCAGCCTGTTTCACAGTGTCATCTGGTTCGCTAGCCTCTACGGGAGCTCTATTGGTTTCTTCAACAAATGAATCTAGACCGTGAGTTAAAACCTCTGGTTCTGCAACTAAAGCCTCAGGTGTACAGACCAGCTCTGCCACATGAGCCTCAAGCACAGTATCCAGTTCTATGACAAGACCTTGAGGGGACTTATCCCGAGCTACCACAGGACCTTCTGGAAGTACATCTGGAAGCCCTTGCTCCAGCACAGTGCACTCAGGTATGTTGTCCTGCATTACAGTGGGCAGTTCCGCATTCTCTTCTGGCGCTTTGACAGGGGACTGAATTGTATTCTCCTCCTCATCCTTAATGTCCATCTGGCCATCAGTCCCGTTATCCTGCTGTTGCAAGGTGGCATCATCTACTTCTATGTTACTGGACTGCTGGAATTCACAAGCTTCAGCTATGGGTTCTTGTGGCAGAACAGGTTCCTCCACTGTCGTGTTGTCTTCTTGCTTGACAGGAGGTTCTGGTTCCCTCTCACTCAGACCTCCAGAGGGCTCTTCTGCACAGGTGTCCAGGTGGTTGATCGAGTCTTCTGGAGCCACATCTGTTTGCTCAATTAGTTCTTGCGGCTGTTCAACCACCTCTAGTTTTTCAACAGGTATTTCCATCGCCTCGTTATCGGGGAAGGACACTTCCAGCATTGTATCCAGAAGGGGTGTTCCTAGGGAGTCTAGGGATTGGTAGGAAACTTGCATCGGTGAAGCCCTTTCTGGAGACTGAGGGGTTTCCTCTATGGGCACGGTCTCGGGTAATGGTGAAAGAGGGGTCACCTCATCAGCTGCTGGCTGCTCCTGGGAGACCTGCTGCGACTCACCTTGCCCCGTCTCGGATGCGGCGAGTTTCGGAAGCGCAACTTCCAGAGGGGATTGTGGAGTTTTCTTCCTAGGCCGCCCAACACGCCTCGGAGCACTGTTCTCTGCCTGTCTGTTGGTCTCCGGTAGAAACCAACTGGGTTTTCTACCGCGACGTTTCAGGGTTTTTTTTTCTGCCTGTCGGCCGAGGTGTCTTTGTTGTCTTTTGGAGAGCTGTTTCATGGAGTTTTCCTGGATCATATCGAGCTGTCTTAGGGATCGCCTTAATGCCGACGTATCTATAACTTTAACACGTTTTCCAGGTTTTCTTCCTCGCCTCCTGATGGGGCTCTCTGAGGCTGCCTCCGACTGCCTGATGCAACGTTTAGGAGCAGGCTTACGCCGGTCTTTATCAGAGTAGTTCATCAATTGGCTAGTGTGCTTGTCTGGAATTTCTGAATGCATTTTATATGTCTCTTTAATACTATCATTTTGAATCCATTTATCATCCTCCACAGTCTCATTCAAGGCTGCTTTCATCACTTTCTCACTCATCAAAGACAGGCAGTTCGTCTTTAGCGTGATCAAGTTCCAAAACTCTGGATCAAAAAACAATCCCCTCTTCAAGATCTGGAGCAATTCGAAACGTATGTGGTTTTTAATCACGCTGGAATCCATGTGATACTCCTGGTCAGGGTAGGTGTAAAGAAGATAAACAATCTTGTAAGAGTCCACTGTGCGCTCCATGAAGAAAACAAGAAGGGCACAGGCTCTGCAAACCTCCAAGTCATTTGGAAGAAGATAAGCAATCATCTTGTACACAAGGGACTTGGTGACTGGGTCGTGACGGAGATCCATCTGAAGAGCACATGCACATAGCTCGACGCAAAACTGCAAGCCTTCTTCTCCCAGCTGGAAAGAAGACAAACCAAAGCATATCAACGATGGCAGTATGTTAATACCATTTTGTTTTTAATCTCAAATCCAGAAGAACATCAATAGGTAAATAGCACCCTGGTATTTTCAGGACATGGTTTGCACTTGTTAGTTAAAACTGCAGGGCTAGAGATACTGGAGTAGGCTAATCATTAATTAGCCAGGGTATGCTTGGCCTTCAATGAAAACAAACGTAAATTTTCATTTTTGTTGGCACCTTACAAAAAAATGAATTGCTGCCCTTGAATTGGTCCAGAGAAGAACTGGCAGATATATATCCCTGTGCTTAAAGGAATGTCCTGCTCTGACAGGACATCTCTAAAAGAACTGAATATTTTTAGTCTTCAACACAAAAGCCTCAAGGGATCAGGTGACCTAGTAATCAAAATCCTCAGGGGCTCTGACATTGGTCAACTCATTGGATACTCCAGAATCAAGTGGAACAACTTGTTGTTTGTTTCTGAATCACAACACAAGTGAATAAAATGTGGATAAGGCACTTAAACCAAGAACACATGATACTTTTATTTAAAAGTGGAGGCAGGTCTATAACCACCCATGCTGCCAAAGCCGATATTGATTTCTTTCAAAAAACGGGCATAAGAGATCCTTTGCTCAATAACCCGTTGGAGACCAAAGGAGATAGCATCGCCAAATTAGCACTAAAGCTCCTGAGAGGCACTCATGGGCCTCACTCTGGAGAGTCCATAAGCAGGAGGCAGAGAAACAACCTGCAGTATCAAATTATTAAAAGAAAAAACAGTTGCACCGATTGTCCCTCCAGGTGCTATTAAACCCTTAGACTACATTCAGGACAGGCATCCTTGGTTCTGCTTAATGCTGTTAATGTTTTACAGCTCTACAGAGCACAAAAAACAAACAATCCCCATGCAGTGTAGCCTGTGTTCTATTTTACTTTTCTCCTCTTTATGAAGGTCTTATCTTGGTCACCTGCTGAACACCAGTACCAGAGAACCTATACCCCCCTCCCTTGGGGAAGATGAAGCTAAGCAGGTGTGAGCCAGGTGTGAACCTGGATGGGAGACCTCCTGGGAAAAACTAAGGTTGCTGCTGGAAGAGGTGTTAGTGGGGCCAGCAGGGAGCGCTCACCCTTCGGTACACGTGGGTCCTAATGCCCCAGTATAGTGTAAGCAGGCGCCGTCCTTCGGATGAGACGTGAAACAGAGGTCCTGACTCTCTGTGGTCATTAAAAATCCCAGGGCGTTTCTCGAAAAGTGTAGGGGTGTAACCCCGGCGTCCTGGCCAAATTTCCCATTGGCCTTTACCAATCATGGCCTCCTAATAATCCCCATCTATGAACTGGCTACATTAATCTGCTCTCCTCCCCACTGATAACTGATGTGTGGTGAGCGTTCTGGCACACTGTGGCTGCTGTCGCATCATCCAGGTGGATGCTGCACATTGGTGGTGGTGGAGGGGAGTCCCCATTACCTGTAAAGCACTTCGAGTGGAGTGTCCAGAAAAGCGCTATATAAGTGTAAGCAATTATTATTGTTAGTATTATTAAGCCTTTAAATAGGAAAAAACACTCACTTCAGCCTTAATTATCTTCATGAAGGGAAAAATCATTTTAACGTTTGTCGCAGTTGACATCAGTTGATGGCATTCTTCTAAGAAGTCCTGTTTGGAAGGGTTAGCCCGCAGCTGAAGTTTGCTCCATATGAAGATAAGATCCCTAGGCAATAAATAAAAAGGTGAGAATATACAATATACAAACAGCAACATTCTTCTACCGATAAATGGAGAGACAACAAGCAAATTTTATTAAAGAGAAAACATTATGGTATTCTCAAACTACAACATAAAATCATTCCACCTTTGACTTTCAACTCAAGCTCTACATTACTGAAGACAGCAAACAGAAACTTACCAGATGTAATACATATCACCATTCTGCAGCTGCTGGGTTAGAAATGCTTTGCACAGCACCAACAGCAAGTCATCCTTTTCCTCATTCTCAGTGTTGCAGATGATCTCCACAGCATCCTTCCCATCAATCATTGCCATCTGTTGAGGGACAGCAAGTTCACTGCTAAAGCCAAGGTGGAGTGAGCACATCACATGACAGTGATCCCTGACAGCCACCTCTGGGTCTGCAGTGCGAGCCAGGGAATTGGAAAAACCAGGTCACAACAGCTACTTAAGTGCTGTATCTCTTATGAAAATGGACTCGGGACTTCACAATGAAAACACTTGCAGCTCCAATATATGTGAACTGAAGAGCAGTTGCCACAAGATTAGAGGCTTAACACGACACGCCAGCACACCACAGAAAAGCCAGTAGTAATAACTTGAAAGAGAATATAGGAAAAGAGGAAAGGTGTGAAATCCACACATGGGTGGAATTCAACTGGGACACATTAATATATACACATAATGGTCACGTTTGTTAATTTAATAAAATCAGGTTAAATGTATTCCATCTTAAACCCAAGACCAATGTTACAGGTACTACAGGACAATTATTGTATTCCTTCAATTAGGTTTTTTTTTCCCTAAAGGATGTCAAAGCTCCTTCCACATAAGAGGGTACCCTGACATCAGCATCTCTGCTACACTGCAGATTAGTGAGAACCTTCATTACCTGTTGAAATAGTCAAGAAAGTGTATTGAGGCCAGATCCTGAAGGCCCTGAAAGGAATTTAACCTGAACACTAGGGTAAATACCCTTATTCTCAACTAGGCCAGAGCAAACTTTCATGTTTCTCTTAAAATTAAGACTAAATCTATACGTCTCCTTACCTCCTTTTGAAGATGATCATATAAAGATGCTTTTAAAAGGCAGGTTAAATAAGCCTGATGGAAATACAGATGTCTTCCCACTTCTGAATGCTGTATACAGCACTTGGACAGTGCCACAGCCTCCTGGATACGTTCACAGGCTAGTAAGTAACGAACCCGGAACTCAAAGAAAGCTGGAACTTCTGAGCTTAAGTATCTGTCCACTGTTAACAAACAAACAAAAAAAAACACTCCTTAGGTTAAACCGATAGGACTGCTTCCCAACAAGATTCCTCTTTTCATACAGTACCTGTTAAACAGAAATGGCTTGTTAGAGGATGAAGCAGTGCCCTAACTTCTTGCTCCATATTCAGCAGGCATTGTGGAATTGTGAACATTGAGAACACACTGAAAAGATGTGATGAAAATATATAATCCACGAGTACTGTAACATGGCGGACACCATTTCACTTGCAGAGTAATCTAGAATTTTTTCTATGGTTTTACAAAATACACAAAGAGAATTTGAAATAATTCCATCCATCCATTTTCTAACCACTTCATGTTTGTGGATGAACCAGACCCCATCGCAGCAAGAACTGATGCAAGGCAGGAAATACCCTGCCATCACAGGGCACAATAGAGACACATGCACTCACATCAGGTCAGTTTTCCCAGACGCAAACTAACCTATCAGTATGTATTTGGAATGTGGGAGGAAACTGGAGCACCCAGAGAAACTCCATGATAACATGAGAGAACATATAAACTTCACACAGATAGCACTGTATTGAGCACTGAGTGATTCAGAATTTAACCCATGGCCCCAGAGCTCAGCCCCATGCCAGCCCCAGTTTTAAATAAAACAAACTGTTAACTTGATTGATACATCTTAAACAATGTCTATTAGGGCTGGGGGGGAGGCCAAGATCAGTTTTTCCAGTGCTACGTGTCCAAACAATTCCAATGCTGCAAATGTTAAAAAACAAATTAATCAGAATGGGATTGAAAGGAGAATCTGGAATTGACCCCAAACCTAATGTCAATCCAAGTAAAACACTTAATTCAACTGTTCAACACTCAGTCATGCCCAGTACCTTCTTCCTGATGTTGCGGCATCTCCTTCAGGATAGCCTGCAAAACTGGATTCTCCCATGGGCCACCTTCTTTAACAATCTGTTTCACCAGCATGAGGTACATATTTCCATGGCCCAATAGGCATGAGTGGCATTCCTTTATGACAAGAAGTACAGAATCAATAACCGGAATACAAGACACAAGAGGCCTATGCTCATAATAAACTAGCACTATAAATTAGGCATCTATTTTTAAAAACAGATGCTTCGAAATGCTGATATTGCCAAAAGTTTATTATAGTCTGAACTGTAACACTTTTCCTGAACTGTAACAAATTTTCCTCATCTTCAATTTCTTGAACTATTTTGAATGATTTGATCAAAGAAAGCCAGCTATGGGTGACAATGTGTGCAGTGATTCTGGCTCACCTGAAATGAGTCAAGAATGTCTTTCAATGGATCCTCCAGGAATTCATCCTTACCAAAAAATAGCAGTAGTTCAAAAAAGCTCCTGTGATGACAAAAAAATTAGTTGACGACAAACATGTCGATGTGCCAAAAGAAACAGATTAGCTAAACTAATGAATACACTTCTTAAACATCCTCATAAAACTTTTCAACATCAGAAATATTTAGAACACAGTGGGTGGATCCATAATCATCCAGGTGGATGTTGCATATTGGTGGTGGTGGAGGGGAGTCCCCATTACCTGTAAAGTGCTTTGAGTGAGTGTCCGTAAAAGCGCTATATAAGTGTAAGCAATTATTATGATTATTATATTATAAAGAAGATGCAAAGGAAGAGTTTCTGTCTTCTGGGAGAATTACGAAATCTTCCACTTGCATGCAAGATCGGTTTGCAGCATATCCCGTGCATACTGGGATATTTCAAGAAACCTGACAAAGTCTGTGACCCAGTAAGCGATTACTAAAAAAAAAACAAGCTGTTGTCATTTCTTTCCTTGCTAACACTGGTGGTAAAGTAAACTTCAGCGAACACTAAACCAAGGGATTATAGTTTCAGTCTCGGTCAGCCATTAGGTTTTTTAGCCAACAGTTGAAGTTACTATGTTGAGCCCTATTACTTGAATAAAATAAAAATACTCTCCCGACATCAAGCTACTAAGACCAAACAATAGTAGTATAATACAATAGTATTACGGCTTTCAAGCATCTGGGGTTGACTGCTGTTGCGTTAACTGTGCATCCATATGTACTCACAAGGCAAGGCTGCTCAAGGTATACTGAACGTGCTCACAGTCAGCAGGGAAGGTGGCAATGCCTTGGGTGAAGCAGCACAGTGCCGTTCGGAGCACCTGCAACTGAGGCAGCGGCACCTGGCATCGTCCAGTGTGTTCTTCAACCACCTTCAAAAAGACAAAGACAGTACGGCTCACACATGGAATTACCAACTGGTTACTGGAAAATGAAGAAAAGCACCTTCAGCATTTTCATTTAGCTTGGTCGTTAAATTCCGTTGTGTTACATGATCAGTATAACAGTGTAGCATTATTTGCAATGTCAGACAAAAAACCTGTGAGGAAGGTATTGCTCATGGCATTTGAGTGTGTGCAGCTGAGTTGCAAAGCCTGTTTGCAAGACACCACCTTTAATCATTTCTCTAGTCTTGTCACCTGTCATGCTGCATACGGTGATTAGGAAGAAACATGAATGGTTCTTCCAGTTACTCCAAAGAATGCTGCACTGAGCCATGTTGTTTACAGAACAGCAGTGGATACATCAGAGGTGTTGATAAGCCTGGCATAACGGCCTTTGATGGCTTTCCATTGTGACACTTGTAGCTGAAGTTAATTTTGAAAGGAGCATTACTGGAAGTAAGCTGCTTTCTTCACATGAAGGACAGAAGAATAGAAGAAAAACAACTACAGGTATCAAACTGAGACATATCCACATCCTTCAGGTGAGACCTTAAACCAGAGCACTGTGGCCTAGTGGCGTGCCTTTAGACTAACGGGAATGTGGCATAGAATTTTGGAAAAGTAAAATATAAGAGACGCAAACAACGAAAAGTGTAGTGTTGCTCATTCAGCATACATACTAAACTGAAGACAGTTCATGTGGGAATCAAGTGTAGTGCAAGTTCAGTTTTTCAAGTTTGATGGACATAAACACAAATGGAGAAGATCTGAGGTCTTTTACCACTACCACCTGAAGCAAGCTTGGATTAAATACTGATATATGGTTTGTTTCTAATAGTCTGCATGTGGGATGAATAGGCCACTAAATCCACATTCATGCAAGTGTGCCGTGAGAGATGGAAAAGGTTGAGGAACACTACATTAAACCAAGGGGTTATGAGTAGGGGGATTACTACAATGCCCCTTTAACTGAACTAGTGAAGCAGTTTCTCATTTATCCCACTGTTGTGGTCCCTTTAGTTTCTATATGGTGCTTTAGGATCCTTTGGGATGAAACTTGTTGTGCAAAGGCAAACCATTATTTCACTTGAACGCTTGTGCAATACTTCTGTACCTCTATACTTTCTATTCCTCCTCATAACTGCTCTTTATCAATGTAACTGATGCACCAAAACCAAACAGCCTCCTGCAGTCACACCCCTGTACAAGTATCTGCGAAACGTATTTTTGACAGCGATCTTCTGTGAATTTATCTTGATCGTAATAAAATCAGTAAAAATGGACAGCGAGGTGGGAGTGACACATCCATTGCATGCTAACTTCACAGCAATATATCTAGAACTCATACTGTGCCTACTGCAGCCTTGGATACAGGATAAAAACCTGAGAGGGCTGTTCTAAATGCAATGACATACTTATGCCGGACTGCCTTCACAGGCATAATTATAATTCATTTCGGAGAACGGAACCACTACTTTCATTACTCTTTACATACACTTGGGTATCTATACGAAAGCTGTCGATAAACAGCCACTACTGCTTTTCATCATTTGGATATAATTGAAACATCAAGGTATTAAACTACCAATTGCAACAGTTACCTTTAAGAAAACTAGCATCCAACTACCACTAAAGCACGTTGCATCGATAAAAGTCATCTGTACAGATCAAAGATTTAACATAAGTGACAGATGCGTGACAGAAGACCACAACCAAACCAACCTGCACTTTCAAAATTGAACGAATAACTATCAGTGGTAAGATCGCGATATATGAACACTACCTGATGTACTTTAAACAGTACAGTGAATCAATGTTCACATCAATGTTTTTTTTTTTATCAGTCATCCTAGGACAAAGCAACTTCTCTTCAGTGTTAATTGTATTTTTTTTCCAGTTGCGAGTTTCATATAATGCAAGACTTTTCCATGAACACGCCTAGACCAGTCCAGAAAAAAAACAAACAAATCCACATTAAACAGGTGGTCATGACACTGAAAGCCAGATCCTTTCCCAGTTCACGAAAACGTAGCCCTCTAACCAATTCGAATTCCCCTGGAATTAACGAATCAAGACAATGTCATCGTACGGGCTGTACAGGCAATAATCCAAATCGCATTACAAAGGGATTTCAAAAACCGAGCGGGCAGAGGACCACCTTTTCAAAGACCTGCTAACAAGCCGTTCAAGAAAAAAAAGGGACTTCAACGGCTGCCAAGATGTCAGCCCACGACAGGTTTTACTATTGCACTCTGTCAGCCAGAGATCACACATTCCAGTTTACATAAAACGTCAACCCCATCGCCGGACCCCCCCCGCACACCTGCTGAGTTCGTCTAAATCTTGATAAGACTAACCCTCACTGGCTGCACGTCCCTGGGCGTTGTTACACCTCTCGGATACAAACAGGAGGAAAACTAACGACCCCCTCCGACGCGCAAAAAAAAAAAGTTTCAGCCTGTGCCGCCTTCCTACAAATATAGGAAGTATATCATCTACAGGTCTGCCGTCTGCTGCAGCGGACGTTGTATCCTAAAAATCGCCCTCAAATGCACAGTAAGGTGGTTTTGCCTGGGCATCGCCCCCGCATCCAGATTAAATATGTCCTCACGGTAACACCTTACAAAAATGCAACAGCAAATTCTAACACACATTTGGCAACGACCGAGCATCATTCTGACGCAAGGAAAATAGACCAGAGACGGGCATGGCAAGTCTGGGGTTTTTAAATGAGGGCTCACACCCCATAAAATGCTTTTCTACAGTGGAAGTAGCACTGTTATTGTGTCGGGGGTATCTTGTGTGTTGGTGTGTATGTGTAGGGGGCTGTTGTTTTACAAAATGTCACTCATTGAAGTGCTGCAAAAGACCAGGGAAGATTTGCTTCGCTTTGCGTGTGGGCGAACGAGCGTTTATGAAAGATGAAAAACACACATCTTCACTACAAATGGAATAATAAAAAAGTAAACATTAACAGGAGTGATCATACTGGGGGAGGGGAACGCTTTTGGTAAATTACTCTACAGTCCTACCAGGCGCTAACCGCAGAGACTCGACTTACCTGACAAAACCTGGTACAGTACAGCTTGCTCTGGAGACCGTTCCCGCCCTTCCCGCCATTGTCCAACAAACTCTCCAGCTCTTCTTTGAGTCTCTCTGAATCCAAATCGCTCTCCTCTTCCGCCATGCTGCTCGTCTTACCCTGCGCGTACAACAACCACAGAGCCCTAGCGAAGCTCGCTTCCTGCTCCGCCCACCTGCCGGTTCTCTATTGGGTCTCACTCACATCCATCACGAGTCTCTTCCACTTGTGTTGAGTTCTGATTGGTTACTTGTGACAGTCAATCAGCTTGTAACCCCCACACGCCCCTTCTTCGAGTACGGGTCCTCTGATTGGACAAAGGTCATAATCAATCACACTAAAACCCAATTCCCCTTTTTAAGAGCGCACCACCTTGATTTGTTCGTGTTTTGGAAGAGTCAGATGGGGGGGATTAATTGCATTTCATCTGTTGATAAGCATGTACACTGTATTCTCTTGTATTTAGTGTGCGTGCTCAGTAAAAAAAAACAGATTCGTTTTCCTGAAACGAAAGAAACGTTATCTGCTATGACGTTGATTTCCATGCTCCAAATGTACTTTGGGCCAAGGACTGTTTTGACGTGTGTAAATGCGAGGCATTCTTCTGCTACCTAATAGCATTCATCTTTCAGCGTAAGACACACGTAAAAAAGCTAAATGCATATCTTGAAAATCATATTAATCGATTGACAACATCACTTTTTAGTTTTATTACAATGTCAGTTGATATTTCATCGAAGAGTTTTCATCATCTTGCATACATTTCTTGAACTAATTGGAGCAGACCCCACCACATACTGTACACAAAAAAAGGCGTTAGCTTATTATTGTAGCAATAACTTTAATGCAGTTTAGGATTTCTAATGCTTAGTTCATGGACATGGCTACTGCTAACATTTTTGTTCATGATATTACACTAATTGGTACATCTCTGGTTAACTCAACGCTAATGTGCCTGTTGGTTATGTTGGACTACAAGTACCATAATGCAGTGGGAAATGAGAACTCCACCTGTCAATAAGCACGTGGAGCCAATATTTTTGTACCTTTTAAAACTGACCTTGAGTGCTGACGTCTGCAATTCAGAAGTAGATGCTATGCTCTTGATCATCCAATTTACCGTTCTTGTATTTGAATAAGATTATGTATTGCAGAATCTTCCCATTTAAAAGTCGGTTTAACCTGGTTTATTCAGAAAACGTCTAGATGACGTACTATTAACTCCCAAATACTCCGAGACCTTCTTTAGTTTGTCAGTGTCCTTACGTTTTTACCACCTTATGAAATTCTGTTTTTTATGATTTTTTTCTTTGAAATTATATACCTTTTAACTGCTGAGAATTTAAACTATAGAGTTAATTGGATCAATCTTCCCAATGAAAGTAGTCAAAGCAGCAAAGTCGAACTACCGAACATTAAAATCTATAGTTGTCTTAAAAAACACGGTGTAAATAGGCGTGAATGTGTGACCCTTGAAGCCAAGGACTCCTTCGAGTCCTGTAGATTTTTGTCTTTCAGAAGAGTTAGTTTTATGTGCTGTAAGTCAGGCCATGCTTGTTTTCACATTGAAATACTTTAAATACGGTAATAAAATAGTTTCCATAAATTGAAGGAAACTAATTATTGATTAATATACATATCCAGACAAACTATTTTTTATTCAAAAACTGCAATTTCCTGCACATGAAATTCCGTGTTTCAGCTGTTTTCCTTGTTTGGCTGAGGAATAATTTCTCCTACCTGCTTTGTATAAACATTCAGAATAAAGATAAACGAATGACAGTTTTAGTATTTGCGTTTTGTGTTAGTTTGATGTAGGATTATCTGATGGAAAAGAACTATTCGTCTAATTTTATAACATTTAAAAATCCATTTAATTCATGGCTAAAACAAATCAATTATGCAATCATCATTTTCTGATATCTTAATGACTAACACGACAGACAGATTTATAATCTGTCATTATTTATTTAGATTTTTCCTTTTTAATGTACACTTTACCTTTTGTAATATCTATTTATCATACAATATGTTTTGATATGTTTATATATCTATGTCTATGTCTTTTGTCTTACGTATTGTGTTGGTTGTGTCCAGCCCAGTGGCGACAGATTTTAGCTGATGAGGTTTAACAGCTTGTCCTGTGCACTCAACTAAACTAAACAGCACGCCTTTAGCTTTTGTTCTGTTTGTTATTTTAAAATATCTTTGACAGTGGTCATTTTTTCTGTTATTTTAAGTTGTTCAATGTCACGTGATAAATTCCAAAATAACGCATTTTTGTGTTAGTTATTGAGAGTGAATTGTGATCTTTGGGCGCCCTCTAATGGCATACAAACTGGCGCCCTCTAGTGGTGTAAAATTATGTTATCTTAATTAAGCAAATATTTCGTAACACCTTAATCATATATGTGAAACATTAAGACATTGAAACATTGCATTGCATTCGCATTGTGAGTCTGTCTCACAACAATGTTTTGTGTTTCAGTTGCACCTTGGACTTAGTCATTGCAAATGACTCTTTTCCATTTGGCTTATCTTGAACTAGGCCTTTATGATCACCTCCAGTAGCTGTTCTCTTCGATATAGAATTGTCTCACACTTTCTACTCTCAAGCTCAAGTTTTCATCCGCCAACCAAACTAGGTTTGCTGATTTTGCTCTGTCCTCATTGTCTTGCTTTTCTAGCTCTGACACTCTGGAAGACAAGGTACAAGTGTTTAATAGCTCTTTTTTAACTCCTCTTCACACCTTAGCGCCTCTTAACAATCTTCTTTACTCCCTCTGCCCCATGGTATACTGAACAACTGCACTCAGTGAAGGTAGCCTCTCAGTAAATAGAATGTACGGGATTGGAATGTATGTCTTCAGTCTTGGAAGGAGAGCTTGACTGAGTACAAGGAAGCACAGTCTGCTAGTTCCAGCTGCTTCTCTGAAATCGAGAGCAACCATAGCAATCCCAGTGACCTGTTCTCCTCCATCAATAGACAGCTTAAGCCAAACCACTCTATCATATTACCTGCTTCTTCTCAACCTTGCAACACTTTCTTAAGATATCATCCAACTTCACATTCTCTCCTCCACACACGTTTTTCCTACACCTCCTTCCTGCTTGCCTAGATTGCTGGTTCCCTTCCTTTTAGTTTCTCTCAACGTGAACGTCTTAGTAAATTGGGATCACATACGAAGGCCACAGCCTGTTTATTAGATCCCCATTCCTTACTGTTTCATTTCAATTAATTTGTTCTGCCCTCTGTCCTGTTGTCCTCAACATCCTAAACAAGTCACTGAGCACTGGTATGGTACTGATGGCTTTCAAAATAGCTGCTGTTACCCCTGTGCTAAAAATAAAAACAAATATGGTCCCAGACAACCCAGAGCAATTTTTGCTCTATATCCACCCTACATTTTCTTCCTAAAAATCTAGAACATGCTGTTTCAATTCCAATAAACAACCAACTTATTGCAAATATGCCCTGCAAAACCTTCCAGTCTGGTTTCACACAATCACACAGCACAGAAACTGCTCTGGTTAAATTCGCTAACAATCTTCTTATGGCTTCCAATTCCGGTTCTATATCTGTCCTTATTCTCCTTGGCTTTATTGCTGATTTTGACACTGTTAGCCATGACATCTTACTATCCCGTCTTGAGACTATGTTGGGAGTTTCTGACACTGCTCTTTAATGGTTCAACTCTTGCCTTGCCGTTTGCCGCCACTTTGTTTCTCTCGAGGGTTTCAGTTCTGAAGTTGGGTTTGTAAACACTGATGTTCCTCAGGGCTCAATACTCAGCCACCTATTCTTCAGCATTTACATGTTCCTACTTGGTCAGCTGTTAAGATCACATGGTCTGAATGATCATTTCTTTACTGATGATATTCAAATCTATATCCATATTATACCCAACACTGAAGTGGCTGTCTCTACACTTTCTAATTGCATCTCCAACCTAAAAAGCTGGATGACTGAGCATTTCCTTCATTTAAACTGTGACAAGACTGAATTCATACTTCTGTCAACTATGTAAAATCAATGACAGATAATGACAGTGACGCTTGACCAACATGTGCAAAATACGGTAAAAACATCAATCTTCCATTTCAGAAATATCTCGTCTATATCCACGGTTGTCTCTGACTGTAGCTGAAAAGCGGGTCAACAGATTTGTTTTCTTTGGAATTGATTGCTGCTGGTGTATCTAAGTCCACACTGAACAAACTTCAAATTTGTCCAGAATTCAGCAGCCCGAATCCTGACCTGGTCATGTACAAGTGATCCCTTCTGTCCTTATAATGGCTTCCTATCAGATTCGTGCTGACTTCAAAATTCTCATGTTGACCTAAAAGTCTCTACATGGTTTGGAACCACAGGATATATCTGACATTATCTTCCTACTCCCAACTTTGAAATCTTCAGTCGTCTCATTCAGGTCTCCTGTTTGTCCCACAAGCTCATTAATATACATTTGGGTGACAAGGCCTTCTTCTGCTGTATCCCAGAGCTCTGAAATTCTATCCCCAAGGATGTCAGAGAGTCACCTTCCCCGAGCATTTTCAAATTCAGACTCAAAACCTTCTTCTGAAGTAAGACTTTTGCTTGACTGATGCTTGTGTCTACCCCTTTACAGCTTTTACTGTATTCTAAACCCTTGTTTATATTTGCTCTAACTGTGTTATCTCCTGTATACAGAAGCCTGTTCTTTGAGCAACAACTTTTTAAGGTGCTATATAAAATAAATTGTATTATTATTAAATGCCCAATGATATGTTTGTACTGTGTTTGTAAATGTTGTTTAAATTGCATCTTCTTAGACATCACACGCTCATGCAATTAAAGCATTTTTAATATGAATTTGAACATTATAGTTCTTGGAGGAAAACATTTTCTTTAACTCAACCAAGGAAGTACTAATGAAGAACTCTAGTCAAACTTCCATTTTTCCCAGTTTGAAAGAAATTCGGTGTGTCGAGTCATAGAGGAATGGGTTTGGACATTCTTAACCATGGATGTTTTTCACAGTTCCTAAAATATTCCATACAAATAGAAGAAGTCTTATGTTTCCAGCATCAAGCTATGAAATGCAAGTGGGGTTTTGACAGTGGACAATAGCTTATTTGATTGCAGCATGGCATTTCAGTTGTTTGA